AAAGTATTTCAAATAAAATAAGTAACAATTAAAAGAATGAGAACCAAATTTGATAGATAAAGGATCAAAGTTAATATAAAAATTAAATTTTAAGAAATAAAATTAAAAAATAAATATTCAAAACAAAATATATATAGCAATCAAAAGTTTGAGAATCAAATTTGATATAATCAACAAATAATGATATTTCTAAATTTTTCACAACTTCCAGAAAGTGTTTTCCACCCAAATTTTCTAGGAAAACACTTTCCTTAAAACCAAGCCAAATCTTTCTTTAATTTAAAAGTGATTTCCGCTGATCAACTTTCCTAACTGCAAACAAACACATGAAAGTTTTAAAAGTGATTTTCCAGAAACACAAACACATTAAAAAAAAAACACTTTCCTGAAAACCAAGCTAAATTTTTCTTTAACTGAAAAGTATTTTTTGTTGACCAAAAAGTATTTTCTGTTGACTGGAAAGTATTTTTTGTTGAACAGAAAGTGTTTTTCGTTGACCAATTTTTCTAATAGCAAATAAACACAGCAAAATTTGAAAAATAATTTTTCAAAAACTACTTTCCGAAAAACAAACATGGCTCAAACTCTTGCTTCTTTGCCTTAATGAAAAAAAATGAAAGAAAGTAATTTATTCCATTTTCTTAAAAAAAGATATATAATAGTAAAAAATAATAATTTTATGCATTCAAGAGAATTGTAGAAGCTCCATGCATTGCAATTTTCAATACTTCATAGTAATAATCGGTAAACTTGGTATATTAAATTTATGTTTGGTATGAATTTCAAATTAAATTAGATGAAAATTGATTATTATTAAATTTGATATATATATTTAGCCAGTTCAACAAAAAACTAGTAAGAAAAATTAAAATTTCAAAAAGATATAATTTTACCCTAAAATAATCTTGAAATAATTAATATTATTTTTAAATTAACATGTGTTGATACATAGATTAAAATTAAAATTTCAAAAAGATATAATTTTACCCTAAAATAATCTTGAAATAATTAATATTATTTTTAAATTAACATAAAATCATCTATAGATTAAAAAATCATCTATAAATAATACAAGCATGTCATGTTTAATATATTTATTTGGAATGCACGAGAATATTTTATGGATGAAATAAAACAAGATCTCTTTCTTTGCCCTATGCATGGATTTAATAAATGATCCGACCAAGATGTTGAAAGGAAACCATTAACGGTGACTGGTAAATGATCTATGCAAGTTGTGGAAAGGAAACAAACTGCCATTGGTTCTAGATCACTTCCCTTCGTAGCTAAAGTTTGATTTTGTATTTCATTTATGTTTTTTTTTTTATATTTAAATTATTTTTAAAATTATTTTAATATACTAATATCAAAAATAAATTTTAAAGAATTATATTATTTTAATATATTAAAAAGTAAGTTATACTCCGATCTCAAAGACTGCCGCAATCTTTTGCTTTATGCCTCAGTCCGATTAAAAATTGTTTGCTCGAGAAGAGTGGGAACACCTTAGATTAAGCTTATGGTCCATCCAAGTATAATAAAATATCTCTCAGAATAATATACATGACAGGCAACGTGGCTTCTTGTTTGATCGCCACGTATGCCACTGCTTGATTAGAAAAGAAAAACACGAGCTTCCTGATTCGTCGGGGCAAAAGACCTGATGGGCAGGAAGTCTTTTTTTGTTTTTTTAATTGAGGAGACGAAAGGCTAGCGAATGCGAAGATTATTCGGATGGTTAGTATAACGTGGCCCTTTATTTGATAGACACGTATATTACTCTTCGATTTAAATATTAAGAAAGAATATCGCTCTACCCATAAAAAAATCGAAGGATGACGGGGATGAAAAATATCTTCTCCAAAGGAAACGGCATTGAATACTTTTGTATAAAATAAATCGTTACAGCTGTTCTATTTATTATAAACCATAGATCTACGAATTAAAGAGAAATCATAGATTCTCTTCTGTTTTTTATTCAGAATTGTATTAAAAAATTATAATTTTTTTATTTTCAAAACAATAGATATAAATATTATTTTTAAATATCCTCTCCAAGTTAAGCTACTGGCCGTTGACGCACCAATTTGATCCAGCAAACTAAGAATTTAGTTAGTTTTTAAAAGTATTTTTTATTTAAAAATATATTAAAATAATTATTTATTTATTTTTTATATTAATACATTAATATTATCAAAAAAACACTATATTTTTTAAAACAAATACCCTTTAAAAATCATCTACCAACAAAAGCACTCTGTGTACATTTCATAAATTTTATTAAATTACATTTCTCTTGTCGTATAGATTCATCAAATATATTTGTTAGTGCATGTTTTACCTTTCATATGCAAATTTCTCTACTTTTTAAAAGTGCAAGAGTATTGACTCATTGACTTTTTTTTTCCTCCTCAAGATAGAGCTCACACCCTTGAGCTAATCCTAGCTTATCTCCTAGCATTCCATAATTGGTACTCCCTGCCAACTAAGCGTAAAAGGCCATGATCATTTTACCTCCAATCAGGACCCTTGAATAATTCTTTTGTGATTTTGATTCAACATGCCAGTAATTTTCTGTGACGTTAGCCAATTATTAGTAGGGTCTTAGGCACCACTCTCCTCCAATCAAATGTCATAAAGTCACCACCCTCCTCCAATCAAATGTCATAGAACTATTGAAATCTTAGATACCCAAAAAAAAGTCAAAAACCACTGCATATTTTTTACTCCAACATAATGGGTCCCGTACCTCACCCCCACCGTGCCTTCGGGTCCTCACCCATGGCAAGTTCCAGAAGTTTCCTAGAGGACCGCTTTCCCTCTTCCCCACCCCTTCCAAATGAAGAAAGCAGCTAGATTTTTTCCTATAAAAAAATAATATATCTGCACCCAATACCTCTAGATCTTTCCGAATAAGATTATGTTGTGATCCATGTTTTATTTTAATTATATATTTAAAAATATTTAGTTAATTAAAACACTTTACGGTTTTGCATTATTCCACCAAAAATATTTTTTTTTGAAAATACTGATTAATAAAAAAATTATAATTTATAACCTTTTTAATATTATTTTTTAAAATATCAACAACAACGGTTGTTTGAAAGCTGAAATTTTTTAAAATATTTTCTATTTAAAAATACACTAAACTGTTATTTTTTAAGATTTTTTTGACACGCATATGAAAAAAATTAAAAAAATTATAAATTAATATATTTTTTCAAATAAAAAATAATTCAAAAACGTAATCAAAAGCGAAAACATCAGCACTACCAAACAGTAACGAAGCCTCGTCTCCTCTATTTATCGCTTTAGATAACGCTCCATTTCTCATCTGTGTATAGGTGTCATAAGCTCACCAACTTGTAACGACATAAACGACCTTCCTTTCCCAAAACAAGGCAAATTTCATCACTCGAATATATCTTTAATGCTACTTTGCCCTGTTTCTTTCATCACAATTTCTCTTCTTTTCTCCCCATGACCTTGCTTTGAATTCTCTTTCTAGCTTGAAGGGAGTAGCCTCCTCTGTTTTTCTTGACCATATCTCTCTTTTTTGGAGCAAACCCATTTTTTGTATTACTTTCTTGAACTTTTTTCTTTGCCTTTTCCTTGCTAGCTTTCATTTTTCGACAAGATTTCTCTAAAGTCCATCCATTCTGCACCAGGAGTTTCAATTTTGGCCGAGGCTAGTTTTATCAATAATCTTGAACCGACACTGGGGCAAGTAGTTTTTTTTATCATCAAACTAAAATAAGAATTGAAGTAGTGAATCAAATTGCAATCATGAATCCATATCTAACAGTGAAGCAAGAGTACCCAGGATCAAGTTTATTGCCTCTGTCCAGCGGTGATGAGCCGCCAACAATGATGCTCCCACCACAGCCGATGGAAGGTTTACATGATACAGGACCACCGCCATTCCTGACCAAGACTTTTGACATGGTGGATGACCCAATGACCAATCACATAGTTTCTTGGAGCAGAGGAGGGTTTAGCTTTGTTGTTTGGGATCCTCATTCTTTCTCCTCAAATCTCCTTCCTAGATACTTCAAGCATAATACTTTCTCCAGCTTTGTCAGGCAGCTCAATACTTATGTAAGTGGTTTGATACCCAGCTAAAAAAAAATCAGTCTATTTTCCGAGTCCATTTTATCGAAAATAAGCAGATTTAACATTTATGTGGCATTTCTCTACATGGGTTCTTGATACTAAAAAAAAAATTAATTTTATGCCCAGAGAACAGTGTTAGTGAGAAGATTGCTCAGGAATATCACATGCTGTTCGTGTAACTTTACAGGATTTTTGCTTTTATTTATTTATTTTTGCGGAATGTTTATTGAAGCCATTTTCTAATTTAGGTGCAGCTGGTCTTCTTACTTATTTATTTATTTTCCTTTTCTTCAATATTCCTGTTGGGTGCGGGACCTGAAATTATTTCTAATTGTTACAAAAACCGGAAAAAAAAACTCCGATTTCTGTTGCAGAGTTGGATTGCTCTACTCATGAAGTGCATGGATGTCTTAAAAGCGATCAGTATGCTTGGGACCAGTAATGGGACTGTCTGTCAAAGTGATATTCTGGAAGTAGTTTTTTTTTAGTCTGTGTTGAGATGTAATTTTGCAATTTATATTCTTGGTAGGAATTGATGATGGTTGATATTGGATTCTGACTGTGGAACTTTTCTTCTCCTACAGGGCTTTAGAAAGATTGATCCAGATAGATGGGAGTTTGCCAATGAAGGATTTCTGAGGGGTCAAAAGCAGCTTCTAAGGAATATAAAGAGAAGAAAGGCAGCTTCTCAGCCTCTTTCTCAACAGCAAGCTCCAGATGCCTGTGTTGAAGTTAGCCGTTTTGGATTAGATGGAGAAATCGATCTCTTGAAACGTGACAGGCAGGTTTTGATGATGGAATTAGCGAAGCTTAGACAGCAGCAACAGAAAGCTAGATCTTATATACAAGCTATGGAGCAAAGGCTACAATGGACAGAACAAAAGCAGCAGCAGATGATGCAATTCTTAGCTCGAGCAATGCAAAATCCTGCTTTTCTACTGCAGTTAGTCCAACTGAAAGGGAAAAGGAAAGAACTTGAGGAAGCAATGACTAAAAAGAGAAGAATTCCTGTTGATCAAAGACCTGGTCGAAGTGGTGGTGGTGAATCAAACCGTATTGATGAAAGTGCAAACCCCATCAAGGCAGAGGCTTTAGAGTATGGAGACTACGGATTTGAAGTGTCAGAGCTGGAGGCACTTGCATTGGAAATGCAAGGGTATGGCAGGGCAAGGAGAGAGCAAGAGGATGGAGTAGAGGTGCTAGAGCCACTAGAAAGCGGAGATAGAGAACTTGACGAGGGATTTTGGGAAGAACTGTTAAATGAGAGTGCTGGAGGAGGTGATGATGAGGATGTGAATACATTAGCTGAGCGCTTGGGTTATTTGCGTTCAAGTCCTAAGTACAGAAATTGAACAATTTTCCGCATTGCTAACCACCACCACCACCACTTAATTCCCCCAATGATCATTTCATTGCGGTAGCAGGTTTCCATGGTCATATTGTTAGTTGATAGTCTTTTTTGCTGCAATGGGTCCTTTCAAAAGTCATTAGGCTATAATCTTCACCTGCGTCTCTTTCTGGTGTTTCTAACCCTTGTGTTTTGTCAATTCCTCCGTTTTGCACATCTTGTCTTCTTGTTTTTCTCCATCTTGGTTAGGTTGCAGCAGTGCTTGGACAGAGTCTGGTAGTCCTTATCATGATTTGTCTCAAAGGTTACTAGATTTTATTTTCACTCTCAACCGCTTTTTGACTTGTGCATTTAATTCATTAGTTAACAGCAGCTTGTAATTTTCCTTGGCCTCAAATAAATGTAGACTGGTGAGATGCTGTTGAATGGACAAGGGGTGGCTGCAAGTTGCAAGAAGCCACAACTAGTTGCTTTTGGATTCAGACAACCGACTACGTAGTTAACTGCGTCGGCTTGATTTTTTCTTTTTCTTGATCTGTCTCTTCTTTAATGCAAGGGAAAGGGAGATTTGGTCGGTGATGAAATTCTTGAAGTTGCTTCTGTACCATATGTGGATTTTTTTCATGGCTCTGCAATTTGGCTCTTGATTTTTCATCTTCATTGCCCGCGGGGCTCCAAAGGTCGAAGATGCATCGCATTGATTTCGTGACCAATAACCAACAAATGCGCTAATGGTGACATTTTGTGGCGGATCGTGGTGCTGTCCTCGAAATGGTGATGAAGAGCAGTCGCTTTCGGAAAACCAAAACGATCGATCTTCATGGGCAGCTGCCCTCCTGTACGATGAGCTCTTAATGTATCTGACTTGTCGTTGCATGAACCATGTGAACTTTGCCTAAAAACACGAAATTGAAGGAAGGAAAAGGACTGCTTAAAATATCCATGATCCTCTATTCCTCTTGACTGGACTTTCCAAGTAATGCAGTATGAATGAGTGTTTCATTACTGAGGAAAAAGGAATTAAAAAGAACTTAAAAGGGGTTGGGAAGAAATCAATATATCTCGTGAAAAGCCTCGTGTGTGGTTTGAAAGTTCAAGTCCATGGGGGTAGTAACGTCGGAATCGGAGACGGAGCGGGGATTAAATCAACGCTGGAATTATTTATCAATAGTATTATTTTTTAAAATTTATTTTTGATATAAATATATTAAAATAATATAAAAAATAAAAAATTAATTTAATATAAAATAAAATAAAAAATAAAATCATTTTTTTCCAAAAGAACTTTAAAATGCTCAGACAATCAAATGTGTTTTGCGAGGTGCACCTCTTTTAATATTTTATTAATTAATTCATGTTTTGTTAATAATTTATAAGCGAGCAATCGCGAGGGAAAAAAAAAAAAAGCTTTTTCCACTTGCCAAATATTGTTTTTTTTTTAAAAAAAACTTAGCGCAAATAAGAGCACCTTCCGAAAGCTATTATGAATAGACCCGGCTACTGTTTGTGGGCTGGGCTAATAATAGGGTAGGTTCCAGGGAGTCGGAGTTTAGGTCTGTATTTGAAAGTGCTCCAGTCTAGTCCAGTCCAGTTAAAAATACTGATGCGCTTCTCTACTCCGCCCATACACGGAGGCAGCAGAAATTTCAATTTTCTGCAGAACTGGCTGATACAACCAAGATTTCATAAATTGCAACAACGGTAAGAATTCTATTCTTTTACCTGACTAGCATGATTGATTAATCTTTGATCACCCATTGTTAATTACTTGATCATTGTTTGGGATTATTCTCCTTTACTGGTTAGGTTTATCGTGGTTGTGTTGCTGTAATCTTTAGGAAATGGGAGATTTTTCGAAGCATTTATAGGCAGTTAAACGGATGTTTTCTTCAAAATTTATAATATTATTGTGAGAAATGTGAAAATGGGAGGTGCAAATTATCCACACTGGAAATGCTGAAACATTATCTTAATTTATGGATTGATTGTTTAGCTTATGACATGCTTCACTATCACATATTTGTTCAGATCGTGACAATATGATGTTTACTTCTAGAAAAGCAGACAAAGAGTGTCTTTGTCTATGTCCTGGTGGTATGTGAGGTGTACACCGAAGAAATTCCATCGAAAGCATGAATCCTTTGTTGGAGGACCTCCAAGAGGACGCTTTGCGGTGAAAGGGTAATATATTATTTTTCCATTGCAATCATTGAGTGCTGTCTTGAAGTGAGAAAATCCCTTTTTTATTCTTTGACAAGGGAGGAGCACACCTGTCTCAAAAAGTAATATAGAGATAAAATGGATGTCAATTTTGATATCTAGTTGGTCATCCTGTGATAAAATAGCAAGCAGAAATTACTTATCATTTACATGGAAAAAGTTTGAAAAACTCTCATGACTGTGTGCTATCACCTTTTATATTTTTGTCTAGGTGTGCAACGTAAAGATAGGTCTTGAATTTAATAAAATGATCCTCCTCTAATCAGTAAGATGGGTCTTGGTATTGGTTGATTGTGTTACATTTTTCGTGTTTGTTGAGTTTGCAAAAATTTTGTGTTGTGGGTGACATTATAATGAATACTAAGTATCAGAAGCAAGAATACTTCGGTTCTCTTTTTTTATGATAAGGCATCAACATAAAGAAGTAGTTGTTAGGGAAGAAGTGACAAATTGAACCCCTCCATCTTCTGTTGTCTAAACCAGCATAAGAATTAGCTTAAGAAGTAGAAACGATGAAATTGAATGACTTGTTAAAAATATAAGTTTCATAACGTAGACTGTCAAAGTCACTATACAGTAAAAAACACTACTTTTTAACTATCATGTTTTCTTATAAACGCATGGTGGCACACTTGCACTGATATACACCAACAAACAACATTACACGAACTATGTTGATATAAAAATTAAAAAACTCACAGTAAAATTGATTCTTTTCAAGAAAACTAAAATCAAGTTTAAAATTAAGCTTAATATAATTATAATCTATACCAAAATACCAAAACTATAAGTAACTGAACTCCTACCCTACAAGTAAAGAGAATTGCGAACAAGTATGAAGACGCCATGAAACTTGATTTATTCTTCGATAAGTCAGAGTAATTTAATGCAGTGTTGTCAAGAGGCACTTGCAGGCACTTCGAGGGAGGCAAGGTGAGGTGAGGCCACAACTCCTTTATTAGCCTTAGACAATGAATTTCAATGAAGCACTATTTCGGCGAGTATCTTATAAGTTGGCGCCAGATGTTAAAACGAGCGCCTGATTGAATTACTTTCTTTTTTGTTGGATTTTTCTTCTTCTTTTTTTTTAAACTGATTTATGTTTTGACCTATTTATTTGTATTTTTAATTTACCAAAAGAAACAACTTGGGGATATTTTTTAAAATATCGAATATTAGGGTAAAAAAATTCATCAAAGTGGAAGACATATTAAAGAAAGATGCTTGGAGAGAAAAATCAACCTTACTTTGTGTCAAATAGAGTTAGAGAACAACAATACAAGTAAAGAACATGAGAGCATGGATGATGATGTTTTTGAAGATTAATGAATAATGATGATGATATTTAAGTTTATTTTTTTAATCTACTGTCTACTTACTACTTTATATTATTTTGTTTTCAGTCTTAAAAATATTTTATGTTTTCTTTTGATTTTCTAATGATTTAATCTTAACTGGGAAGATATATTTTAGATTTATATAATAAAATATATCTATGCATATTTCCTTGGTTTATTTAGAAGAGCACCTAGGCGTGCACCTAGCTCCTTGGGTATTTTATAGGCTTGGTATCTCTTAGGACCTTTTGCCTATGACAACACTGGTTCAATAAAGAACAATAAAATATTAGCAAAACCTCACACATAATATAATAATTGTTGAAATTAAAGTTTGTTTCTCTAAAAATAAACCTAAATATAAGTTAAATAACCATATTTATAATATGGTAAATATGGTAAAAACATCCTAAAGAATGATGAAAAAACAATAAAAGAATTCTAAATAAAATAGAAAAAATAATTTTAAATCAAATTGGAAACTAATATAAATCCCACTCGGTAGCTTTTAAATCTTATCATAAGGCCTTCACGATTTTGATCACAATGAAATTTAACCCTATATAAAACAACACCTTTAGAATTACTTAGAATAGTTTCACTTTAATCCAATGGTTGAATAGGAAAACATATTTGCCAGCATAAAATGATGTATAAGAAAATGTAAACCCAAAATCACCTTTATTGTTCTTGAATGATAGAGAAACTTTGCCAACTACAAAATCCCAAAAAAAAAAAAAAGGATACACAAGTTGCTGACTTGGAAATCCGTGCCAAAATAATTTCAACTGCTGTCACTTATATTGTTCTTGTAGAAAATGAATCATTGTTAAATAAGAAGTCCACAAATCATAAGAAAATAAATTGCAAAACTCGTACAACTTTTGGCTTGTATCGCGATGCTTTTTTGAATTTCGATTGATCTGAAACTTTTAAGCTAACATAAAATAAAACATCTAGAAACTTCTGGTAAAATTTCAGTACGATCCAGTTAGAATAACACTTCATATTATGAAATATTAAGCTAGAAAACGAATCAGATTGTCCAACCCTTACATGGATTGTATCATTCCTCCTCTTTTCAAAAGGACTTGTCCTCGAATCACCAATAGAAACTATGGTAAAATCTAGAGCAACAGTAGCACCCACTTCATTAGCTTTTGGTTTAAGCATTTAGAGCTCTTTTTTTGTCAATTTTTGCCTCCAGTGACACTGTACAAATATAACAGGTTCTCTCTTGTTTTGCATCCTTTCAACAAGCAAATTCTTTTTTTCGTTTGTATCTTATCGATGTTGATTTAAAGCTTCGTTATAATCAATTAGTTTTCTTGTTTCTGCAAATAACTCTGTAATTTCCTTGCACTCATTTACTAAGTTCATAGAAGCTCTTTCGCCATCAATCTTTGGAGTTTGGAACCTTAGTTTCTCATGCTTTCTAACATTAATAACCCTTTAAGATTATCCCTTTTGCAATTTAGCATCTCTTTTATTTTCTATTCAAACCACTCATCAAATCTCATATTCATCATTTGAATTTGCTTCATGGCGTGTAACATAAAAGCTTGATTTTCTCTCTTTGAGCGGGGATGTAGCACATTTGAAAGACATTATTAAGATCTAAAAATCACGTTAGTGGTAAGAAAATATATCCCCACATACTTCCTCACTTATTTACACTCAATAGATGTCATTATTCTCGTGTTTCACATAAATTTTCAGCTTTTCATTATAATATACTCACCTTTCATCTTTTACTGCTCAATCTCAAAAATTTCAATTATTAAGGTACCAATTCACAACAAATCAGAAAAATTAATCACTTAATAGCACAATCCAAAATAATATAAAGACTTAAGAAGTAATAAAAACTGAAGATTATCAATACAAATCTACGAATACGAAATTGTGAATAACAAAATGAATTTGAGCAAAATATGAACAATACAAAGACATGAAAACAAATTATGAAAATAAAAGGATTAACGAAATAAGACTCGAATAACCCAACTAGGTATATATATATATATATGGTAGCCGAAACGAAAAAAAATGATGCAAAAACTACATGTTATTATTTATTTATTTTGAAAACTTTAAATTTTAAGAAAACCCAACCAAGTAAATCTAAAATATCACAAATCAAGATTTATCTCTAAAAAACCTTAAGAATCAAGATTTCTTCTTCTTTTTAATATTTAAAGCAAAAGTGACCGAATTCTATGTTTTTTGAATCAAGATTTGTGGCAAACTCTAATTCGGTTTTTTTTTTGTGATTTTTTTTTGTTTATTTTTATAAGACTTTATTTGATCAAGATCCTAAATAATATCTTTTTTTTTAACTGATGTCAAGAATAGGTTTTAGGGAAGATAAAGAATTTGACA